CTTCAATAGTTGGCTGTCATCTTTATAAATACAATAATTAGCACGCAATGCAGTTGAAAATTCAGAGGAGTAGTCAATCTGTTTATGTAACACTTTCAGAAGAATTATATCTAGAATTATTCAGATAATTTATGTAAATAGAAACAAAAGTCTGTTGGCCGTGCATTCCTCTTACATCCTGCTATTTTTAAACCATTCTAAACCTCACCAAACATTAGGACTGTACTACCCAAATGGTGAGAATGAGCTCCCCATAGGTGAGGTAGGGTTTATTCAGCAGTACTCAATTTTGGAAACGGGCAAGTGGATCAAATTCCTTCTCCTGAAAACTTCCCATGCTTTCTGTATCTCTGGTTCTTGGAGTTATGGAACCACAGGCAAGGGATACCTCGTGCCTTTGTCCCCAAGTACCTCTTTTCTCACCATTGCTTCAGTTCATTTCTTGCTGCCATGTAAATTGTTGGTGTTCACACTGTCCTTCAGTTTAACAACAAGGGGTTGCTTTTTGGTTTTGAACTCCTGGTTAATAATTTTCTTTTCTGCCTCCTTGTATAAGCAGCAGCGAGTGAGCACTGCTTGTTTGAGCATCTGCACATTCAGGTTTTGTACACATTCCTCATGGTCATGTACACATTCCTTAGCAATAGAACTGTAATTTCAAGGCATGTAATCTTCTGCCATTCTGGGATGAAGAACGTATAAACTTCTGACTTTAGTGAGACTCAAGCTCTGCCAGGGGAGGTTTAGGTTGGATATTAGGAAGAGATTTTTTACAGAGAGAGTGATCAGGCATTGGAATGGGCTGCCCAGGGAGGTGGTGGATTCACCATCCCTGGAGGTTTTCAAGATGAGACTGGATGTGGCACGTAGTGCCATGGTCTAGTAACCACGGTAGGGTTGGACTCAGTGGTCTTTGAGGTCTCTTCCAACCTGGTTGATTCTATGATTGACCCATCCTGATAATGGTGGAAGCAGCTGAGACTGCTTCATCCATATTTCTTCTCTGTTTACATAGCCTCTTTAATACTACAAATCAGCTAGGTTTGGAAATCAACTTTTCCAGGAGCTTTTGTATTCTGAGCACTATGGAATGTTTTTTTTTTTTTCTCTAGGTATGAAACATTTGTTTCCAGTGATTTAAAGGGAATGCAAAGAATACTGAATACATAACTGGAGGAAAACGAATTAAGAATTAAGGACTTCCCTTGTGTGCAGTTTGCATCTATACATTTTATAGAGAGCTTAATGTTAGTGCTGGGCCGCTGAGTATTGTCAGACATTTTTGTGAACTCAGGATATAATAGCATATTTTCAGTGAAATCAAATGCACCCAAAGTACCTGTTAGCATAAGAATTTTCTCATATATTGTCTGGTTAAATATTAATGCAAAGACTTTTGCTGTTGCATGTTTCTACCAATAATTTCTTTAATTTGGTATTATGCATTTTTTGCATAATTTACATGTAGACATCTGAATGTTATGCTGGCTAAGTAAATTGTCATGTTTTACTGAAAGTGTCTGCACTGTGTATTCTCAGGACTGCGTGCCAACAGCGAGCTGTTCAATATTTAAATAAACGAATTGCATTTTTGCATTGGAAAGGGTGGCAAAAATGAAATTCCTCTGCGAGGATCTGTTCAGGGAAAGGACAGTTCTGTAATTTAATATGTGCTGAGCCAGTAGCATCATAATGTTCTCCTCTACTGGTAGACTGGTCAAGGAATGTTAGAAACATCTTTTGGACTTTTTAAAAAAAATTTAATTCAATATCTTGTTGACCAAAATAAACTTGTATGGTTCCATTTTTGTGTGTGCATTTAAAGGCATCCGTTTAAAGAAATCCTGAGTGTCACAGAGGTGGTCTTTATTATGGGTAGTTGTATATGATAGCAATGAACACTTTTCCTCAAGTGAATAGCTTAGACAAAGATTTTGTTGTTAAACTACCAGATTATATTTTAGCTGCTAGTTTATAGGTGCCACTGTATCCGTTAATACAGCAAACTTAATGCATCAGTGCAGAAGGGATGACAATTCACAATACCTTTTATATCTCTCACAGAAGTGTTAATGAATTTACTATTTCAGGATGTTTCTGACTGCTGAGTCAGAGCTGAATTCAAAGCTACCAGAATTTAAATATACAATATAATCCCCTTATTTTAACTTTGACTCAAGGATGTGGGTTTTTTTGTGTACCGACTCAGAATTATCTACTGAGTTTCTACACTTTAAATGAGTCCATTTGATCTAGCAGCTCCCGAAGACGAAAATCTTTCTTGCCTCCTCACACAGTAGCCTTTTATATCAACTGGAGTGCTCCTTTGTGGGTAATACTTGGCTTGCTTTATTTTCCACAGGTTATGAACACATCTTAAATACTGAAGTAGTATGTGTACATGTTTCTGTCCAAGGATAATTCAAGCTAAGACGCGTGTGGTACATTCAGCTTTCTTAAACTCTACCTTCAGATTTTTATGAATTTTCAGAATTAGTGTTTTTTTAATAGGAACGGTGACCTTTCCTGCTCTTGTCATTTGACTTAGGGACTCGCAGCTCCTTAAAACTGTGTTCCACAAATGAAAGGTAATCAAATAGCGGATTAAACTTAATCATTTCTCTGCCTTATAATAGCTTACAGACCTTCAAGTTATTTTAAGAGAGGTGTCCCTCTTCAGAAACATACTTCCTATGCTGTCGAGGATGAGAGGGGCAGTTCAGCTATTTCTTTCTGGTCTTCTTGTTTCACCATGAAAGAACAGAGGAATAAAGATCTATTGTTGGTGGCATTTCTGTGATTTAATTTTGAGGCAAAAGTGCACAGTTTGGTGTTTGGAGACATCCTTGCAGAAGCTTTTGAATCTGGAATTAAATTTTAAGCCACGTGATTAAAGTTTAGAAGTTACTGCAAATATCTGATTAAGGTTCATAAATCTTTGTACATTGTATCTGAAGATAAAAGCTAATTTCCAGCCTGTATTAAAGAAAAAAAAATTATAGTTAATCACAGCTCCTGTCTGCTGCATTTATTATAAAACTTTCATTAACAGGATGCATTCTGTGCGTGAATGGTAGTCATTTACAAAATAAGGGTTTGGAAACTCATTTAATTTCTGTTCTTTAATTTTAGCTCTGAATAAATAAGTAACACATCTGTTTTAAATCACAATTATACATGATTTATTTCTGAATATAGTAAATACATGTTAAATATTAAAAGACTGGAAAATGAAGAATCATTTTGTTTCTTTATTCTCAATTATTTGTGAGGTATTTTTCTCACCCAGTGATAATTTCTTAGTCTCCTGGGATGTCTGTTTTTTATCTCAGTCAGGGATGTTGGCAAATGCTTTGTTATGCTGGGGGAAAAAAATGTTCAGCTTTTAATATTTTATCAATTCCATTGGGCTGAAGGTGCTGGAAGTTGTCTAACAGTCACCGGTCCTCAAGGGTCTTCAGTCTTCACCGTCATCATATGGGAACATTATAAATTATGTATAACAGTAGATGCTACTTAATAAATATCTAATATGTGATAGGTATTTTGGACTGAAATTGCTTTTTCACTTGAACAATTAATTAAGCTGTATTTTTTGGTTTTATGATGTGACACTTTTATAATATCAAGGAATATCTGGGTGCAGTCTTAATGTCTGAGAGCTGCAGGGCAGCATGAATCACAGCTTCTCTCTTTCTCCAGCATTCTGAATGCTGGAGTGCCTTGTAATTCATCCATGACCGGAGTAAGATTTCCCAGTTTTGTTTTGGAGTGTCTTACATGTTGTGTCATAATCTCATCTTGCCCAGATGTATCCATACTTGGAAGTTTTTAGACAGTATCAATATTGACAACATTTTGTACTGTGTAGTGAAATGAGATCTCACAACTGTTTTCTTCCTTTAGACTTGCAAGTTGCTGTACTTGGGAAAATACATATAACAATCTATATGTTGATTTTTCTTACAAACAATGTGCTGTCTTGGTTGGCCCTGGAGAAGGCATATTGATGACTTGGAAAGGGAGTAGTCACGCAGCTGTCAGAAAACTTATTTTCCATGTTTACTAGCACCAGGAGAAAAGTGTGCTCCTTATAATACACAGAAGCAGTACTTGCTGACGTTGCCTCTCCTTCATGGATTGTCAGGGCTTAGCTCTTCTACAGAGAAAAACACATTCATCTTGAAAGCTGGTGTGCGTGTGTGCGCACATCCGGTCTCTGTTGCTGTTATGTTCCAGGCCTAGAAGCCAATAGGATTTTGTTGAACTTGAAAAATAAACTTAATAAATACTCAAACTTATTTCAAAGCTATAATTAATTCTTTATCTATTATCCACAGACTGTTTATTCAGTACTACATCATACAATATTTTACCCGAAGTTGAGGTTTCCTACTTCTAGTCCT